GGAACATGAGGTACACAATTTGCCATATCTCTTGCCAAAGATGCCTATATAAGGGCATGCTCAACATTGTGAATATTATCACAAAATATAAGTTCTCTCCTCCTATTTTTCCTATTGTGTATAAAAGGAAACCATTCTCTTTGGTTACAGCACATAAATTTTTGCTCTCATATTATAGTCAGTCTGCTCCTAATATATTCTTTCTATGTAAGAGAGTACTGCCATTTTCAGTTCGCCGGAGCTAAGCAGAAGGTGCTTCTGCGTTAGTGGGTTCTAAACCGTCGTATCCTGGGAGACAGACGCCAACATACCTCCAGCACCACGGTAAGGCAACAAATCTATTTTAAGGAAACTATGGTATCACACAGGTTTCGATTTGCTTCCTTGTCTTATTTTAATCTTTTGTTTGATATATATTTCTATTCATCATGTTGTTTAGTACATTATTTCTTGATTGTAATTTAATTCATTAAATATGAATCTGTTTATTCTATTTAATTTACACAATTTGTATAACAATCTTAAAACGGATTATATGTTTCCCATGAAATTGGACAAATAGATACATACTACATGTTTAGATTCCTAATTTCTTATCATGATTTGCATGCTTCTTTATTTTATAATATAATTTGCATGCTCATGAGTGTTTAATTTTTATTTTTATTTTTTTGGGTTAAATTGACATACTTATTATTGTTATACTTTTCTGGTATAATATGCATGTTCATTATTTTCTAGATTTGTAGTTTAATTTGCATGCTTATAGATTTTGATTTTTACTTTCCTAGAAAATTATGCATGATTTTATTTCTAGAATTATTTGCATGCAGTGGTGGAGTCAGAAAATTAAATTAGAGGGGGCACTTATTAATTACAATATCGAAAATTTTTACAAAAATATTTCAACCAAGTTTTTATGATTGATTTCGAGAAATATCAAAAAAATAATATTATTTGTAACTAGTGTATCATGGACAATACAAAAAAAAAATATGAATATAAATCTTAAAATAAATTATATAATGATAATTTTTTTATACAAAATTTGATTAAAAATTCAATATAATAGTAATACCATGTCATCATCGATATGTGATATCACCAACTAATAGTACATAAACACATAGAGAGTGAACCTCACATGTCAAATGTAACTAACAATCTAATAAATTTCATATTTTTATAGTGAGATAACTTATACTTGCATGTCAATAATAATAACATCACCGTTACATTCAAAAATTTTCATAGATAATATGGTTTATAATAGTCTTTTCATTTTCAATTAAAACAACCATTATTGTTCTCATAATTTTTAAAATGTCATTGACATTTCACTCTAATATATTTTTTGTAATTTTTTTATTTAAAATATGTTCTTTATGTTTGCAAAATTTAAAATAAAATATAAAAAAAACCCAAAATCAGGAGGGGCATGTGACCCCCCTGGGTCTTCACTCCCTCCGCCAATGTTTGCATAATTTTATTTCTAGAATCATTTACATGTAAATTGCTCTAGAATTATCTGCATGGTTTTATTTCTGGGATTATTTGCATGTTTATTGTGTAGTAATTGCATATAACTCTTGCCAATTAATTTTAATTTAATTTTTAGAGTTTTAAGTTTTTTGTAACTTGTCTAGCATTCTTTACTTAATTTTGCTTTTAAGTAGATTGCTAAAAGGTTTTAAATAATTTATTACTTTTACAGTTTATTTCAATTATTTACTTTGTATTTTGTTATATTTTTCTGCTAATTTTCTTTACAGGAATACCTATGCGAAAGAGAATGAAAAAAAACAAAAACAAAAACAAAAAACAAAACCAAATGAATAGAATTTGGTACTATAAAACTAAAAATTCGGACTACTAACCTTTTTGTTGAATAGAAATACCTAAGCGTGTAAAGGAATTTTGGACCAAATAGAATCCTATTTTTATTGGTTATTATTCTTTATATTTGAAGCAATTTGTTGCTTGTGTTTTAGTAGTAGTTTAATTTCTACCTTGTAATAGTTTCACCATAGTGAAAGGAAATAGGGAACGAAAGAAACTATAAACCTTCAGGTTTAGAGAAAATCTTTGGGATTAATTTTATTATTCCCAAAATGGTTTGGTTTTCTGTAATAGAAACCAAAATTTAGCCTTGGTTAAAAAGTATTTCTAATTTATATTCAAAAATGGTAATTGAGATGGATTTGGTTTCAAACCTTTGTGGTTAAAGGAAGTCTTTAGATTTAATCCATTTATTCCGAAAGTGATAGAAAACCAAGTTTTGGTAAAGTTTTTGGTTATAATTTGATTATTTCCAAAGTGTTTTATTTTGAGAAAATAAACCAAATTTTATTATTAGCTAAAATATTTCTGATTTTTATTCAGAAATAATGGGCTCAGTTCCGGGAGTACCAATTAACTTGTATGAGTGGTGTAATTCTAATAGCAATTTTTAATTATTGGTCTATTTTAATCTAGTTTATCCTCTGAAAAACTTAATTCTAAATTTGTTTCCCATAGATTAGGAGTCAACATGCTCATGAAAGTTTTGTCTAAGGTTAATTGGGTCTTAAGTGGGATCGGTGTGACCCCCTCTAGTCTTCCTGGAAACTTTCCTGACCATGTTCAATTATAGGGTAAGTGGTGAGATCGGTTGTGAATTAAATTTCAGACTTCGGGATTTTCTAGTGTTAAGTTTAGTTTCTGGAAAAACAGAATAGTGAAACTTTGTTGTGATGGCTTCAAGAGGTGACAATAGAAAATGGTGTTCCACCTAACAACCTTAAGCCTTGTGAGGTTCCTAAAGGAAGATCTAGAGAGATCAAATGTGATTAAAGAAAATCATAAGATTGTAGGATATTATCTCTAAATTAATCAGAGGCAATTAGTATGTTATCCTTGGGTTAGCATGTATGATTGCTATATGACTTTGCTTAAGAGCAAAGATGAGACAACTCGTTAGGATGGGTGAATGTATTTTTTCTGAATATATTCTCGAGTGGTGGCTCCTAGTGAGTACAAGATCACTGATCACAGAGATAGAAAACTGGTGATTCCTAGGAGGTGTTAGACCACTAGCTACACAATTATGAGAACAGATTACTGATTACATGTTAAGACATGATGGTTCCTAGTAGTGGAGTAACTACTGATCATATGTCAAGACTTGATGATTCCTAGTAATAAAAGAGTTTACTGATCCTATGTTAAGACGTTGTGATTCCTAGTAGGGGAGTGACTATTGATCACATATTAACACTATAACAAAATTGAGTTTTCACGGCTTGCAATGCATGCCGTAAAAACTCTTTCACGGCATACACACAAATGCCGTTATATGACATGCCGTGAAAAGTTGAATATCATTTACGGCATGCAAGTAAAGTTGTAAAAAGTAATAAATTAAGCATTAATGGCATACTTTGTATGTCGTATATAAGTTTTTTACGACATTTTCTACATGCCATAAATCATTATATTTTTCATGGCATTATTTTGCATGCTGTAGAAGGTTATTTTTAATATATTTATAGCATACTTTGTATGCCGTATATAATCTTTTATGACATTTTTTTGCATGCCATAAATTATTACACTTTTCACGACATAATTTTGTATGCCGTAAAAAGTTATTTTTAATATACTTATGACATACTTTGTGTGCCGTATATAATATTTTACGACATTTTCTTGCATGTCATAAATCATTATACTTTTCACGGCATAATTTTGCATGCCATAGAAAGTTATTTTTAATATATATACACACACACAAGAACATAACCTTGCCTAGCCATATCCACCTCCAAACAATGGCAGTAGCTTATAAAGTGCGGCAACTTGTGAACAAATCAAGCAGAAGCGGCAACTATGAAATAAGGAAAACAAAACTAACATCCACACCAAACAACCTGCATACTAGCTTCCATCCTCAACTTCTATCACATCAAGCTAATAACAACCTCACAAACGTACAAACTAAGAAAAGTATCCAAATCATATGATTCACTAATTTCCAAAATATGACTTTAAATATACAACTCCACCTACTAATTTCTTTGGGGGGGAAAAAAACACAACCTACATAAATAAAAGAACAGAAACAAATCAAAGAATATATCATTGGTATTTTACATGGTTCAAAAACTTATAGATTACAAGACCAAGTAAAGTAAAAAGTTGCATCCTTCAAAGAAAACATGCATTGATCCAAAAATTTTGAATGGGAAACAAAAATAGTACAGAAGAAAAGAAAAGTAGATAGATGCATCAGATTCTTAAATACAAAAATTCAAAAACAAATAAAAAAAATGGCTTTTGTTTTACAACCAAAACTACATCCCAAGAATCAACCTTTGGCACACTGATTCTAAGAGCTAGAAGAAGGAAGACTCTCACTCCCAATCCAGCAATCCTATTCTAGAATAAAAGATATCACCAAAAAACAAAAAAACTCCATAAAACGAACAGAAAATCAATAGCTTCAACAACATATATATATATACCTCAAAAGGCGATGGATTGAGTCAGGATCAATATATATGTGGTATACAAATTATATCAATTATGAATTTCTTCAATGAACAAACAAAGAAATAATAGAATAAATTTGTAACCTTTACTTCACGGTAGTGAACCAAAACAATGTTCGAGCACTCCCTTCAGCAAGTGTCATCCAAATAAGAAGCAAATGAGAATGTGCGGCAAAAGCCCTTCCAAAATAACAACTAAGCAAACAAAAATGGTCAGATTTTCATTAACTTCCATAAATTAATTCAATTTTCATGGTGTGTAGTCAATTTCATGGAAGTTCATACAAGGTAACATGAGTTTACAACTATAGACATCGCTGTAATTCCAAACATTAAAATGATTAGTATAACAAAGAAAACTGGTGAAACTTTAAACCATATTTCATCTTTTTTCCCTCACAGACAAAGGTAATGGGACTTCCAAAGCAACAAAACTGTTCCAGAAGCAGATATAACTACTGAACCAGATTCTACTCAGCAATTGATTTATTCAATGGTAAATAGTATCAGAGGACTGTACTTATGCATGTACATGTACAAGAAGCTGCAAGTAGGCATTTACATTCAATCAACCTTTATACGCTAATACTAATTAACAGATAAACTTCATATTAAAAGCAATTGCCGAGAGGTTGTCCATAATACAGACAGATTTATATATATGTATATATATATATATAAAGAGAGAGAGAGAGAGAGAGAGAGAGAGAGAGCAAAGTGCAAAGATTTGACAAAATAACCACAAACTTCGATAAAAGCAAGGCCAACTTTTCGACACTCACTCTTCAAGCAACCAATAGCTTCGCCTCTGGAAATTTTCATTTTCTTCTCCATGGGCATAGTAGCAATGCAACACATCAACACTTCCAGCCTGAAAGGACATTATACAAGCAAATTACTTTGGAAGTATATATTCATTATATCATATAGTGCAAAATTCCTGAAAGTCACAAACTTCTGTCTGGTGTAGACAAAATTAACTTAAAAAACAAAAATTGCATTCAACAAGCATCATCTTTTCACACAAACCTTGAGCCTCTCATGAGCTTCCTTCACTGTCTTTCCATCTTTCTTCCTCCTCCAGTTATGGCCATCTTTGTGACGTGAAATGAAATTATGGAACAAACAATAGCTTTAGGTCATATTTGTGATGTGATCCTTAACAAAGTAGACATTGATCCAGGTTGAAAGTGACAAAAAGACAATAAGGCGGCCAAAATAACATTGCTTTGAGGCCATTAGAAACTGTTAGAACTGATTAAAAAAGACAGGTCCATGTAGCAAATCCCAAGTAGTTAAGATTGAGGCTTGTTGAGTTCAATTGTACAGAGTCATTTATTCAAATCCCAGAACATGTTTATAGGTAAATTAATCCAGACCAAGAGATATTGAAAACGAAAGAAAATCCTTGTGCATGACTTGAAATACAGATGCAAATTTTTTCCACTCAAATTTTGGGAAAGTTTCTGAATGAACTAAACTGCTATAGAAGCCTCTGTATGACCTCACAAACACCGACAATTTTTTCCTCTTTCCCCAGAAATCAAGGTTAAGTGGCCAAACCAGGTACCACTTGGCCTACACTGGTAGTGGTGTAAGGTAGACAAAATGGAAGCTTGGAACTTCGAAGTTTTGCTGAAATTTTTTAACCTTATTCCAATGATATCCTTTAACTAAAGAATGCAAGACAACATGGCATCTTTCATCTTAGAAATTTGCTAAAAACAGAGAAGGCAAAGCATTTATACTGCTTTCTTTTACGCCTCAGAAAGAAAATTTGAAGCATAATATTTAATTTTGACATTAAGAGTTAATTTGACCCAGGTAATCTCTTGGACACGATAAAGGGAATTCGGACATTAAGAACCTGGTATGGTGCTAAACTAATAATTTTTCCGTTTAATAGGATTAGTTTGTTTGTTGCCTTTAAGTATTAGGTATATTTGGGGTCATTTTTAAAGCAATTTAATGAGAGAGAAAAAAAAAACAAAAAACAAAAATATCGCAAAACAAAAAAAATAAGAAACTCAGCATCAAGTTCTCTCATCAAGCTCTAGAATCACAATTCACAAGCCAAAGTTATTTTAAAAACAAGAAACTAAAAAGCCATCCCATAATAGGACATGCATAACTGATAATACTTAAACAGCATAAAACTCAGCTTATGAACAAGATTTTTGGACAAACCAAGCATTATTATACATTCATTATTCAACATTTACAAAGAGAAATTTTCAAAAGTGTTAACATTTCATCCCAAACATAGTAACCTAGAAACCAAAAGCAAGCAAAATCAGAAGATCAGATTTGGACTTCCAAGCTTGCGTATGAATGAAATTTATTTGAGACAAAAATAGAATTTCCCTAACAATGCAAGCTTGCGTATTCAAAGATTAGAAATTACCTTCACAAAGAGCAAGCACAATCTCTACTAGAAGGATATCAATGGCTTGATGATCTTTCTGAAAAATTCAATTCTCCATAAAATCAAAATGGGGAAAAACAGAAACCTTAATATTCAACAGAAAATAATCACAAAAAATTTAACTTCCGCTTCTTACAAGTAAAATAGAACTAGATTAATTTCCACCTCACTATATGAACTATATGAACTTCATGAATCTATGATTGTTAAGTAGAGAGGCAAATCAAATAAGCTACCTAGTACTAGAGAATCATCTCAAGTATTTAAACAAAGTTAATAAGGTATTTTCTATTATTAATTTTTTCATTTTTTTTCCAAGAATGTCTCTCAAATTTTTAATTATTCAACAAATGTTCTAAACTGTTTTCAAATTGTTCTAAATCATTTTCAAATTCAACCCGCCTTCTTTATTTAATTAACTGCTAAACATAACATCACAAAAAATAAAATTTTAAAAAAAGAAAAAAGAAAAAAGAAGAGTTTCAAATAAATCAAAAAAGTGTCAATAATCAATAGAAAATTTCAAATAAAAAGCATGTAAACCACATGAATGATTAGATGAGGGACGAGACCTATGTTACTTCGTGCCATTTTAAACTTCATATTGATAAGAAACACCACTAAAATAGACCTACTATTGCATCCAATACTTATTGGAGAAGTTGCACCTGTTGTGAATCTATGCATGAGAACAAAATTAGAATACGAAAAATACGTTGCAAAACTGAGATTTATTTGTAATATGACCCATGTTACATGTCAGCCACAAATAGCATTTCTCTATGTTGGGTATATGTGAACCATTAGAAATGTGCCACGTGGATTTGAATCCACATTTGGCTAGGTATTTCAATTGAGCTAAGACACCTTTTATTAAAAATGAAATTTTAAAAAATGTGACCACCACTGAATTGAGATCAGCACTGGAAGAGCAGAACAGAGCAGACAAACACCAAAATGACATGAAAACCCATTATCACAATACATACATCCAAATTCACCGACATATCCTATATTTGTTATTTATAGCATTTTGTGACCCCTAATTGGCATTTATCATTAGTGGTAGCACAAAAGCTACAGAACCAAACACACTATGTTAGGTAAGCTAATAAAATTCTGGAAAAAACAGAGGACACTAAAGAGTAGAGAATCAAATGGAGAATCAAATGGGGAATGTGAACTATATTAACATAAATTTAACTAAAGTATTTATGTTTGTGTGTATGTCTATGCATCAATTTCTTTATATATAATTCCCTTGTTGCAACATTCTACTCCATTTTAACTCTACTCAAAATTCTTTGATCAGCAAAAAATGGAGATACCACATCTTGGCAACAACCTTGATGAACCATCATGGTTCTTTATCTCTTTGCCACCTCCTCCAATGCATACCGAGTGGACTTTTGAAGAGAACAAATTGTTTGAGAACACTCTTGCTGAGTTCAACCTTAATTCTATGGACTTAATTGAGAAGATTGCTTTCAGGATTCCCGAAAAAATAATTGATCAAATCAAAGAGCGCTATGAAGCACTAGTGGAATTTAATTGAGATTCCATCAACAAATTGTTATACAGCAAATTGCTCAAACTCGATGGGAAGGAAAAGCTTGAGGGAGAGAGAAAGAGAATACGAAACTGAGGAGAGAGAGAGAGAGAGAGAGAGAGAGAAAGAGACAGTGGTGCTCACCTTAGTAGACGATGGTCCTCACTTCCCTCGCCGGTGCAGATGGTGGAGGCGGTGGAGCTTCGAAATTGCCAATCGCTTTGAGATTGAATCTAAGATGAATCACCAATCGCTCTGAGATCGGATCTGAGATGAATCACCAATCGCTCTAAGATTAGATCAAACGGGGGTGAAGAAGGCTGATTCGATCGGTTGAGAGAGATTAGGGTTTAGAGAGGATAGAGAGAGAGAGAGAGAGAGAGAGAGAGAGAGAGAGAGAGACCAGAGAGAGAGTGAGAGAGTAAGGGGGCCTAAAATGTTTTTCAAGTTTTTTGTTTTAGTTATTGTAATATTTTAAATAATTTTTTTTAACTTTTTAAATTCAAATAATTTACATATACTTAAAAGAAATATTTTATTTTAATTTTAATAATGTTTTACTTTTTAATTTGTTTTTTAAAAAATCACTAAATTCAAAAAAATATAAAATTTAATACATTTCATATATATTATATTTTATTATTTTTTTACAAATATTTTATTTTTTAGTTGTATTCAGATTAGGCACATCTAAAAAGTAAAAAATAAATAAATTATTAAAAGAAAGAAAAATATCAAATCAAGGTAATTTAAAAAAAAAATAATAATTACAAATTAGTGAGAAGCCATATAAATATTAATCATTAAAATTATAAACTTTTTCATGAATGTGTAATTTTTTTCCCCAAAATCCCATTGGGTGCAATTATCCCTTAAAAGAGACACTAAATTATAAAATAATGTTTAAATTATTTTTCATGTTGTCCTCAATTAGGAAAATTTAAGGTGAGAAGCTTGGTTGGAAATTGTTAGCTTTTTTAAATAAAAAAAAAAAAATCGGATTGAAATTTTTTTAATAAAAGTTTTCACGACATGCTAATGCATGCCGTGTAAAGTTATAATATTTTACGACATGAAATGTATGTCATCTTAAGTACAAATATTTTATGACATATTTTTGTATGCCGTGAAAATATACATTTTTTACGGCATGCTTTTGCATGCCATAAAAAAAATTCTGATTGATTTTTTTTATTTTTTTTTTGCAGAAGTTTTCACGACATGTTAATGTATGCCGTGTAAAGTTATAATATTTTCCAACATGAAATGTATGTCGTCTTAAGTACAAATATTTTATGACATATTTTTGTAAGTCGTAAAAACATACATTTTTTACGGCATACTTTTGCATGCTATAAATATATGAATCAACGACTTACATGGTATGCATGCTGTTATTGACAAAACATTAACGACTTGCAAAAAAAAATTGCCATAGAATGTACTAACTACGACATGCATTTAATGCATGTCGTAAACACGATACCGTAAATAGTTAGTTTTGTTGTAGTGTAAGATATTGCGATTCCTAGTAATGAAAAGTCTACTGACCATATGCTGAGAAATGAGTGATTCCTAGTGATAAGACTACTAGCCATGTTATGAAGTTCCGAATAGCAAACTATTGAACACTGGATTTGTGTTTCCTAATAGTAAGACTATTGACTTCAAAGTGACTTGTTTGGACCAAACATGTTTTGGTGCCTTGACTTGAGGAAAAGAACTGACTCTAAACGATGTCCTGTTTGTGTCAGACATTCGTAAGAACCTTGTCTCGGGGTCTCTCTTAAGCAAGCATGGTTTTCGCATGGTGTTTGAGTCCGATAAAGTCGTGTTGACCAAAAATGGAGTCTATGTGGGTAAGGGGTATATGTTGGGCAGTATATTTAAACTTAATGTAATAACTATTATCACGAAAATGAATGAGAAAGCTTCATCTTCTGCTTATATGCTTGAGTCCCCTGAATTGTGGCATGGTAGACTAGGTCATGTGAATTTTGACTCTTTTCGTAAATTAATTAAGTTAGATCACATACCATCTTTCAAGATTAATTCAAATCACAAATGTGAAACTTGTGTAGAAGCAAAATTGATAAAAACTTCATTTTATTCTATTGAAAGAAGTACCGAACCTTTAGATTTAGTGCTTAGTGATGAGTGTGACTTGAAAATCGTACAATCACGTGGTGGCAACAAGTATTTCATCACTTTTGTTGATGATTGCACTGAAGTTTGCTATTTGTATTTGCTTAAAAGCAAAAATGAGGTGATAGATTAATTTATTCTTTTTAAGAATAATGTTGAGAATCAACTAAGCCATAAGATCAAGGCCTTAAGAAGTGATCGTGGTGGAGAATATGATTCGCTGTTTATTGAGGTTTATGTTTAATTTGGAACTATCCAACAAACTATAGTGCCCTATTCCCCTCAGTCAAATGGTGTTGCTGAGAGAAAAAATAGGACGCTGAAGGAAATGATGCGATGTTGATAAGTTCTGGGTTGCCACAGAACTTGTGGGGGGGAAGAAATTTTCTCCTTGAATTACATTCTAAATAGAATACCTCAGAAGAAAGTTGTTGAGACCCAAACCCGCTCCTCTAGGTTTAGCGTCGTAATCGGCCAGTAATCTTGGGATTACCAAAGGCCTCTGAACAAAAGAAATAAAATATAGCGACTAGCGGAAGCAAATACTAATAAATAATGTCCATAGAGCTGTGTAGACATACATGGGAGTGAAAATTTAAAACTTGTATTTATATACATAAAAGTGACGTCATATTTACATTTGTCTTACATCACAAAAACTCACATATACAGAACTTACAAAAACGTGTTCAAACGAAACATAAGAAATCAAGAGCCTAAAAAACTTGATTCACAAAAACTCGACCACAAAACATTTCGGAACCTCCTTGGGAGGCACACTGGTTGGTTGACTCAAACAGTTCTCCAGACAAACCTCACTGAGCCTGGTCCTGCACCTGATCACCTACATACATAAATGCTAGAATGAGCTGGAGTCCAGTGAATAACAACAGGGTAAAGGGTTATGAATGATGTCCAAGACAGATTTAGAAGTCAAAGTTCATATTAGAACAGATTCAGATTTACATACATATACAGAATTCATAAGCAATTATATGTGGTACATCTATTAGCTAACAGATCAGATTAGTCATAAGACCCGCATGCATAGTCAATATCGACGACCATAAAGGTCAACATCTTTGTGCACAAATAACCATGGTATTGTTACCCCTAGGCGAGGGTCACGTGAAGATAGGTCGTAGTATTATTACTCTCAGGCAAGGGCCACATGAACATAAGCCACGGTATTGTTACCCCCGAGCGAGGGCCACGTGAACTAAGGTTGCCACAAATACATTTCAGAAAAATGGACATTCATTCATGATTCATAAAATAGCATTTCATAAAACAAATCATATCTCATCATTTTAAAAATACTTATAATCAACATATCTTTAGAAAGTTGTTACTCACAAATAGCTTCAATAGCAGAAAAGTCAGAACATTTGGATCAACAATCTATGGCGCGTGACCTACACAAACACATAATGAATACACACTGAAACACACGCTCGGAAAATACCTAACTCATTTCTTTTCTATCTTGGTGTGTTTCTAATTCTTATCCTCATTATTATGTCTTAATTAAGGCTTCGGAATACTTAAGATGCAATGAGGATGCCAAAATATGAGTTGAAACACTTAGTCAAATTTTCAAAAACAGGGCAGTCCGCTCGAGCGGAACTTCGGTCACTCGAGCGGTCTGCAAGCCTGCAAAAGTACTGGTTGTATGATTTTTATGCTTGACGGACGCTCAAGCCAAAGACTGAGTAAACATGGTCTCCGCTCGAGCGCTATTTCAATCACTCGAGCGGTTTGTAAAACTTTGCAAAACTTCTGGGAGCTCTCATTTTACACTTCGATCAGAGGATCAAAAATAAGAGTGGTTGCTCGAGCGCAGGTTCTGCTGCTCGAGCCAACCCCCAAACTCTACAAAAGTATTGGGAGCTCGCATTCTTCACTCTAGCGCAAATTCCTACACTCGAGCGAGGAGTGCAAATTATGAAATTTTTAGATTGCACTCCCAACTTCAAAACTCAATTTCAATGCATTAAAACACATCTTTTTCGGCCAAAACTTGAGAAAACATGTGTAAACTCATAGGACTTCATGAATTAAAAGCCATTTCGCCAAAATCAAGCCCAAAAGCAAGAGAATTATTCAAAAGCAAACTTGACATTTTGAAAACATAACATGCAAACAATGACTTGAAATCTAAGCTTCTAAAACAACTACAAATTGAGTGTTTAAATGCAAAACCACAATGAGCTCCCATTATAGAACAAAAATAAGTTCTTGCATGTAAGAATTTGTTAAAATCAAAACTCCAAATCCATGAATTATGTACGTATGTATGTTATGATCTTCTTTCCTTCCTTATAGCTTGATTCTTGCATTTCCTAGCTCAATTCTCATACTTGGTCACAAAGTCTCCTTATATCCTCTTCATTAATGACTTATACAAAGATTAGAAGTCAAATACTCACCTAAGGTCTCTAATTGAGTTCTAATCAACAAATTCTTGAGCTCTTACAAACCAAACCTTCAATTCTCTATAATTCCAAGCTTGAGTTCAACTTTCCTAAGCTTCCCTAGGCTTGTACAAAATAATTACAACTAGTAAACAAAATGAAGCTCTTGCTCTAATCCTCCCAAGCTATTGCCTTGGCGGAGGCATCTCACCAACACCTGAAAATAGTTTTCCCATATAGGGTGAGCCAAAGCCCAATAAAAATAATCCAACACAATATATGAATCTTAACAAAGATATAAGGGTAAAATGCATTGCAATGCTCATGACCAAAACATCTAATTTCTCGTTCTAAAACCATGCAAAGTCCGGTTTATATCACAATTCATCATTCATTTTCTTTACATTAGAAAACAGGGCCATGAATCATAACTCTGGGAATCTCAAAGTACAACCTTTCACGGATATATCGTCCGCGGGAAACCGTAATCGGCACCCTTGTAAACGTAAGCTATACAAGCACTACTTCCGCCATTTCATAGATATTTCATCCGTGGGAATCAGAACACATGTATATGCATGATTTTCGGGACTTTCACCCTA